ACTACGAGGAGATCGACAGAATATATGGGACATAGCCGCTCACAACAGACGGCAGCCGAATACAGAGATAACTCCAGGACATACAGGAGAAGCTCGCCGCCCGATAAGGTATGGAAGGTCACCGTCGGCGCTGGCATGGGGCTCCGGTGTATCGGGAAGTTGCAGATGCAGCGTATTTCAATCGAGTTGAGCGCGACAATGTGTCTCAAGATCGTCTTCGTGTGTTGCGCGGCGTAACAGCTTTTATCAGGCACCGTGATGACATGTTGCTTGTGCACTCGCGAGCTCCAGAGCGAAGCTGGACGACCACGTTGGCAAGCTACAGGAGCTGCCAAAGGCAGCTGAGCTAGATAATGAGCGTATCGCCTCCGACGAAGTTCCGATGCTCGACGTCGCCTTCTACCGTGGGCCCCACTGACGCTCCGCAGGTGTCATGGATCTGAAGGGGCCCCAGGACACACAAATAAACAATCACTAATAAAAATGTGCCCCATATTTTCCTATATGTTCTGGGTGTTTGTCTCCCCCCCCACTTCCCATATTTTCCCATATTTTCCTGGGAGTCGACGATTAATTGTGTCTGTGTGTTTCTTTCCCTTCTGAGGATCATCGTATCCACACTGGACGGTGGCCTCTGTGGATCCCACCCGGCGACCGCAGCATGCATCCCGGTGGCGGTCACGGTGCATGTGGCCGTTCGCGCACGCGCTCCGCGTGCGCTGGCTGTGCTCCGAGCGGCAGTGCGCCGACGGCGAGATCAAGAAGCCTCGCAGCATGTTGCGCCAGCATTCCTCACTCACAGCACCACTACCAAGAACACTGGGGGTGCGGCCCCCCCCCTTGTTCGCGTCCCCGACGCGACTGCCCACGGGAAGCAGCCTCTGTTGCTATGCCGTTCAGCAGGCAGCGACAGGCTGCGGGCGTGCAGCGAGCAGGGGATCGCGCACGGAGGCTTCTCTTCCATAGTCTTGTGTTGTTCCTATCCTACTTAAGGACCACATCCCAGAAATAATTTCGAGCACCCAGAAAAGTGTCGACACAGTGTCGAAACAGTGTCGGGCGAGTGTCTCCCAGGGCCCGACACGTGAAAACCCTTGAGTTTCGGTACTTTTTCGGCCGCTCGAAATTCTTCCTGGTGAACAAGGCTGAAGTAGGCTGGAGCATCAGAACCATAGGCATCGCGTGGGGCTCAGGCGACAAGCATCTCATCCAAATCATGAAACCGTTTCACGGCTCCTTCGATGAAGGGAGGGGCGGTTTGCGCAGTTTATGTGCTGCGACTCGGTCGTGGTTGGTTGGTTGGGGCTGGTTGGTGGATGTACTGTCCTAGTGTCCTGTCGGCATCAGTGCCACAACGTTGACAGAAGGCAGAGCATCTTGCATAATAGTGTTTTGCTGGAACTCGCTGAGCAAGCAGCGGTACAGCCAAGTTTGCAGAGTCTTGGCCGAGCATGGAAACATCATCGCCAGCGCATGTGAATTGCCCAGTCCCCCTCCTTCCAATCGGGAGGCGTCAACGGGGTCTCACCAGTTCTTCCGAAAGATCGAGGTTCCAGGAGCCAGGCTCGATGAGGGTCTCTGGACCTTTGGAGTCGTTCTGGGGTGCTCTGAAGTGTTCCTGGAGGCCCCACTGCCTCCAGGAAGTGGCGCTTCCTCGAGGAAGTATCGACTCAATCGCCATCTTGGGCGCCCGAGATATCCGAGCCGAAACCGGAATTGCGTCGGCCGCGCCATGCTGCAGGGCAACGCCCGTGCAAGCATCGGGCAGTGTCGGATCGTCGAACCATCGGGAGGAGGAGGAGGAGGAGGAGGAGGAGGAGGACCAGAAAGATAGTTATGGGATCGGATGAAATGGACCTTCAGGCCAGAATGCCTGACGGCTCGAGGTCAGGAGACCTCCTCCTAGAGGGGACCAGGGAGACACATACACGTCAGCACAAACTCCAGGATTCCATACCTTTTTGCACATCTCCTGGACTCCCCTCTCCCCCCCTTGCCCATGTTCCCCCACCTGCTCGCAACAAATCAGCGTTTATTTGTGTGTATGTGTATGTGTATATGTGTATGTGTGTGCGCATGTCCATTTATATTTGGCCGCCCCGGCCGCTCCGCGGCGTCGCCGGCCACATGAGCGCCCTCTCCTCCCCTCCTCCCGCCCCGCGGCCGCATCCGCCTGTCGTTTCCTCCTCCCGCCGCCGGTTCACTCGCGCTTTCCGCTGCCAGAGCCGCTCGAGCGCGCGCGCGCGGACTGCCCCTGCCGCGCTGCGACGCAGAAGAGTCCGTTCGTCTCTCCTGATGCTGGACTTCCGTCTCCCCCCCCGTTGCCTATGTTCCCCCACCTGTTCGCAGCGTTCGCAGCAAATCAGCGCCCATTTGTGTGTGTGTGTTTGTGTGTTTGTGTGTGTTTCTGAATTGGTGTGTGTGTTGTATTGTGTGTTGTGTGTGTGTGCGTTGTGAGTGTGCTTGTGTGTGTGTGTGTCTATGTGTTCGTGCGTTTGTGGGCTTAGTGTGATTGTGTGCTTGTGTATTTGTGCGTGCGTGCGTCCGTGTGTGTGTGTGTTGTGTGTGTGCGTTGTGCGTGTGCTCGTGTGTGTCTATGGGTTCGTGCGTTTGTGGGCTTAGTGTGATTGTGTGCTGGTGTATTTGTGCGTGCGTGCGTGCGTGTGTGTGTGTGTGTGTGTGTGTGTGTGTGTGTGTGTGTGTATGTGTGTGTGTGTGTTTGTGTGTGTGCTTGTGTCCATTGGTCTCTCCTGATCCGTCCCCCGACCCTATAAAAATCCAGCCGCCAGGGGCCTCGGCTCCCCCCGCCTCCCTCCATCCCTCCCCTCCCCCTGTGGCTCTGCCGGGGCGCGGGCCGAGGGAGGCCATGTGGTTGTTGCCCCAGTCTCCCCAGGACCTCGCGGCCGCGCAGGACTCCTCCTCCTCCTCCCCCCCTCCTCCTCCTCCTCCTCCTCCTCCTCCTCCTCCTCCTCCTCCTCCTCCTCCTCCTCCTCCTCCTCCTCCACAATGGCACAATAGGAATACTGCCCTCCTCTCTCCCCTGGTGACGTCCGGGAAATGTTCGGCCCCCCTCCACGTACTTGTTTTTACATACAAAATGTCCAAGAAACGTTTTCTTCGGTTTTTGTTTCAAAAATGCTGCTCTCGCTGAAACGCTGGCCGCATTTTGGGGCTACCGCTCGTTCAAAAACGTGCTCCCGCTGCAGCGCTGGCCTCATTTCCGCCCTTCCGCTCGTTCCGAATCGTGCTCCCGCTGCAGCGCTGGCGTCATTATTTCCAGCGCCATGTCACGTTATGGTTTTCGGCTCTGCCAAATTGGGTCCAATGCCCCCCCCCCCCCCGCGAAAAAAACATCGGAAGTGACTACACATTCGGTGCCGAATCGTTGATTTGGGGGGTCGCAGAAGCCCCCCCCACCACTTGGGGGCGTCGCCACGCCATGCTATGTCAGGCTACGCGTCCTCCGAAACGTGCTCCCGCTGCAGCGCTGGCCTCATTTCCGCCCTTCCGCTCGTTCCGACTCGTGCTCTCGCTGCAACGCTGGCGTCATTATTTCCAGCGCCATGCCACGATATGATTTTCGGTCCTGCCAAATAGGCTCCAACATCTAGAACATGGCACCCGAAAAAGCCATCGGAAATGATTGCACATTCGGTGCCGAGTCGTTGATTTTTTGGGGCCGCAGAAAGCCACGCCATGCCATGCTATGTCAGGCTACGCGTTGATCTTCAACACCATGCTATGCCATATAATGCTATGCCCTGCTACGACATCCGTCTGTGCGAACAGAGAGGAGATCTACGCTATGGTAAGGGATGGGGGGAGGACTAGGACGTCAGGTATGACGCGAGCGCACCGAGCTTGTCCCCCTCCCCATCCCCATCCTTATCATCCTCCGCCTCCTCCGTCTACTCCTCCTCCTCCTCCTCCTCCTCCTCCTCCTCCTCCTCCTCCTCCTCCTCCTCCTCCTCCTGCTCCTCCTCATCCTCCTCCTCCTCCTCCTCTTCCTCCTCTTCCTCCTCTTCCTCCCCCCCCCTCCCCCTCCCCCTCCCCCTCCCCCTCCTCCCCCTCCACGAGGGAGGCACATGCGGGAGGTGCGGGCGAAACGAGTCCGAGAAAGGGAATCTGGGCGGCCGCAGGGTCCCTTTCGCATCCGACGGCCTCTGCCGCCGTCAGGGGCCTCGCGTCGGCATGCCGGCGGACCCTCCCCCCCTCCTGCTCGGGGTGCCTCCCCGGACGGAGCGAGGCCGAGAGGATGCGGGAGGCGCGAGGCGGGATCAGTCAGCATCGGATCGGGAAGGCAGATCGGGTCGCAGTGCGCGTGGGATCGGGCCGCACTGGCACGGCGCGCAGGGGAATCGGCTCGGTCGCGCCAGGATGCACAGGCTCGAGGGAAGGTCGGAATCGGATCGGATCGGGCCGGCCGAAAGCGACCGAGATCGAAGTTCACCGATCGGATCCAATGGAGGCTCGAGGAGCAACGAGGAGAGGGAGGACGCACACTGAGGAGGAGCGAGGAGGACTGAGGAGGAGGAGGAGGAGGAGGAAGAGCGAGGAGGAGGAGGAGGAGGAGGTCTGGATATGGATCCCCAATTGCTTGACGACTTTTCGCCAACCGACTTCCGGGGATCGAGCCAGGAACAAATCAAGGTGGCTGCAGACATATCGAGGCAGGTACAAGGAAAGCTGGGAAAACCCAGGTCACTCCAGAGAGTTCTCCATGGCAATGTGGTGCCAATCGCGGCCGCTCCAGCCTCTAGCCTTAGGTCGGGCCTGTCCCCCTACGGGCGGATTCTGGACGAAAAATTAGAAATACCTCCAAAATCAGCAAACATAGCCAAACATGATCAACAACATCGTCCCCAAAACTATCATTGTTTAAACATGTTTGAATATTCCTCCTGTAGAGGGACAGGCCCGACTTCACTCTAGCCGAGGGGCGGCAGGAGGTCGTGGAGCCACGCAACGACGGGAGCCCCCGCGACAGCCCGCGGCGCGGCCTTCCGAGCAGGTGCTCGTCCTGGTCCTCGCTGCCGCTGAGGAAGTAGTCCCCGCGCGGGGACGCGTGGGCGCTGCGCTCCGCGTAGTGTGCGGGCATCCTGGTGCGGAGCACCTCGGGGCCCGAGGATCCCAGGGCATCCGAGCTTGAGTCGGGCCTGACCTCCTACAGGGGGACTTCGGACGAAAAAAAAAACATAGCCAAAACAAAAGCCCAAACTGGTCAGAACAAAAATCCTCAAAACATCGTCCCCGTACCATCTCTGAACTATTTTCGATATTCCTCCTGTAGAGGGACACGCCCGACTGAAATCCGGCGTCTCGACATTGGGCGGAAGAGGGGGGGGGGAGTGGGGGGGATCTGGCTCCGGGCCTCTGCCTGATGCGTCTGTTTGCAGCAGTGCGTCCGATGGGGGAGATCCCGCCAACTCAAAACAGGCGCCCAAAGCAGCCAATATCTACTCCATGGGGGGGAAGAGGGGTTGCGAGGGCCCGCGTCGATCGGCAAAGCAATAACAACAAACAATGACCCACGGAGTATTATTCACAACGAGGCCTCCCAAATGGGGCACAGTAGGGGCTCGGCCACAAGAAGCATTCCACAAGAAACCCAACCCTGAGACCCCAGGACGTCCATTGAGTTCTGGTGCGGAAGCGCCGCGCGTCCCAGGGCAGAACCATCGAACACACAACACACCCAGGGCACCCCGGAGGCAAGCAGGGTGTTTCTTGGCATGGGCTTTCCAACCGTAGGGGCCTCCCCCATGGGGTACGAGCAGACGGGGTCGGAAGACCACGCCGCATCGCCGAGGTATCGCCGAGGCATCGCCGATGCATCGCCGATGCATCGCGATGCACCGGCGACGTCGGCGATACGTCGGCGCAGTCGGCGTGGAGAAAGTCGAGCTCCACACTGTCTCCACACCTGGCCGACGTTGTCGAGGCATCGGCGGTGCGTCGCAGCCCTCCGGCTCCATACAGTGGAGGCCAGTCAAAAGGAACCTTCTGCAAGAAACCCACCCCTGAGACCCCAGGACGTCAATCGACTTTTGCCGTGGGAGCGCCACGCTTTGAAAGCAAGAGCATCGAATCTCAAGCAACTCCGGGGCACCCTGGAGGCAAGAATGGGTGTCTCTTGGCATGGGCCCCACTGTACAACGCTGAGCTCCCGATAAAAAACCCTGGGGATAATGAAGTTCGGGGTTCAGCGGGGAGAACAAACGTGTTCCCGGAGATCTCAGCATAATGATGAAGGTTATGACGATGATGCTGATCAAGATGACTCTGAACGTTCATAGCAGTAATCAAGAAACAATCCATCGGATTCCCTAGGATATCCATAGGATTCCTCAGGAAATCCATGGGATCCATGGGACCCTGGGTGTAACTCAGACCCCATTTGCGACGCCCAGACTGGCATCGCTGAGTCTTCCATTCGGCCTCTGGGCGGCCGGCGTCGAGCCCCCAAGACCCCAGGACGATCAGGCTTCGACCCGGGATGACCATCGGCGGCGGGCGAGGGGGAGAAGTGCGGAGGAGGAGGCCGTCTCAAAAGCCGGCGTGGCTTCTCAGCGCCCTCAGGCCTTCTGAAAGGCTCTCTGCGTCTTCGGGGAAGGCTCAGAAATCCCGAGGACTTCCGAGCCTGTTGCGAAGGGCCCGTCCCCTCTCACATCCACCCCTCGCTCGCCGCCGACACGAGCAACTACATAAACAGCGGTCGGAAATCTTCCTGCGGGTCGCGCACTGAAAAGATCTCGCACCTGGGGAACCCAAAAGGTACCAATACTGCTACTCTCCGGACCTCTCCCGGGGTGCGTTCTGACCAAAATTCCGAGGCGAATCCAGCGGTGGCGACGAGGGCCTCCCAGGAGGCCCGAAAAGGGGTAATCGAGGGAAAGGTAGAGGTATGGCTACGTTTTCCTCCTCCGTGCGTCGGGGCTCGACGACCCTGGACGTCTTTTCATTGACCCCTGGAGGCCTCCAGGGACTTTCCTCAGCTGAACAGTCCGCCATCTTCTGAGCCTCGATCCGACTCGTCCTCGGATGGATCATCCGCACTGCGCCCACACCGATAAGCATCGTTACCCGTGGGTCGGAAGAAGTAGGCAGAAACATTAAGTAGGAAGGCGTTGAAGTAGATTGTGTTCCCGCCCAAGCCCTGAAGAGGAGGGACGAGGGGAAAACACTCGACTCTTGAAGTAGGAGGGCGCCTAAAATAGACTGGGATCTGGGAATCCGGAAATACATACTTTCAACGACCGGCGTGTGTTGGCACTGCGCTCACATCGATCAATATCGTTTGACCTATCCCCATCCTCCTTGGCCCTGCTGTCCGACCTAAGGGTCTGGATAGATGCCCTCGCCGTCGAGTCTCATGGCCTCAATTCCCCCCTCGAGGCACCGGGGATGGGGCTACAGTCAACACGTACACTAAGGACGCACGATGGGACTGCAAGGGCCTTGGAAGGCCATGCTGACCCTTCCCGAGCAGGGCGCGGCCAGCGAAAGTGGCCGAGGATTGGCCGAAGGGGAAGGATCCAGGGGTAACCAAAGCTCGGGCATGTCCCTCTACAGGGGAGTTGTAGACGAAAAATAAGCAATACTCGGAACATAGACCGAAAATGCTCCAACATATTTAAACAAATTAGCCAGCAGCTGCCCATCCGTAGACGACCGCTGACCATGCTGAGGCCCTGGCGCCACGTCTGTGTTGGGAGGGCGGGCGTAGAAGAAAACAAAAACGCTACGAACATAAACTGTTGGCGCTACGCGCGGAATTCTTGGATCTGCGCTGGACCCCCCTTCCTGGTGCGCGGAGCGCCAAGGGGCGGCGCCAGAGACGCCGCCAGGGGCGCCCAGCGCGGATCCAAGAAATCCGCGCGGAACGCCTAAAGTTTATGTTTATGATATGTTTCTTTCTTCGAGGGTGGGAGTGAGCGAGACCCCCTTCGGACATGGAGAGCATCTTGATCCCTGTTCCCCATTCATGAACACCCCCCTCCCCCGGGCGACCAGCAGCCAGCCGAGACCCATGAAAACCCCCCCAAACCACCCCTGGGAACGAAACAGAACCACACACTCAGGGTGGGGTATGTGCCCCTACAAGCGGATCTGGGGCGAAAAATAAGCAATACTCAAAACATACCCCCAAAAGATCAAAACATGATGCGCAAAAAATCGTCCCCAGACTATTTTTCGACTATTTTTGAATACTCCTCCTGTAGAGGGACAGGCCCGACTTAACCATGCACAAACACTCCCCCCGAGGGCGCCAGCTGGGCAGCACGCGCGCCTCCTCGATACCGTTCCCCACGTGGGCACCCAAACATTTGGCCGATCACATGCGCGTGTCCAACCCGCCCCTGTTCGGTCCTTCCAGACTGGCGCTCCCGCTCCGGCGTGGCCTTCGCTTCCGCTCGCTCGGCCCTTCCCAAATCACGCTCCGGCTGAAACGCCGACCTCACGACTCGTTCCCACGAACGCTTGGCTCCTCCCGCTCCTCCCGCTCCTCCCGCTCCTCGCTCCTCGCTCCTCGCTCCTCCTCGCTCCTCGCTCCTCCTGCTCCTCGCTCCTCGCTCCTCCTGCTCCTCCTCCTCCTCGCTCCTACCTCCTCCTCCTCGCTCGGCCCTCCCCGATTCACTGCTCCGGCTCTCCCACGAAGTCGCTCTCCGGCGGCAGCGCGGGCCTCGCCCTCGGATCTCGGCGCCTCGCCCCGTCGTCGTCCCGACTGCCGCTCCCTCGCCCCAGCGTGGGCCACACGCTTCGGGATCCGCGTCGTCGTAGGAGGAGGAGGAGGAGGAGGAGGAGGAGGAGGAGGAGGAGGAATGGGAGGAGGAATGGGAGGAGGAGGAGGAGCAGGAGGAGGAGGAGCAGGATCCGCATCGTTCTTCAGTGTCATCGCCCCCCTCGTTTCCCCTCCTCCGCCCTGCCCTGGTCTTCCTGCTGTCCCTCCTGCTCCGTCCGCTCCAGATCCTGCTGCTGCTGTTCGTCCTCGCCCTTTGCCTCCCGCTCCTCCTCCTCCTCCTCCTCCTCCTCCTCCTCCTCCTCCTCCTCCTCCTCCTCCTCCTCCTCCTCCTCCTCCTCCTCCTCCTCCTCCTGTGCATGCAGTTTCCCCTGTTCCGATTGCGCATGATCCGATGTGGTCTTCTGGCTGGAGTTGTGGGTCGGCCAAGACACGCGTCCGCGGATAGAGAAAAGATCAGCGCAATGGGAAGGGATGGGAGGGAGGGATAAGACATCAGATGAGGCGCGAGCGCACCTACCTGTTCCCCCTCCCTATCTCCCTCCTCCTCCTCCTCCTCCGAGTTCTCCTCCACACTCCCCCGCTTTGGGTATGATGTCTCACCTAGCCCTTCACTCCACTGCATGCTCCTCCACATCCCTGCCTGAACATTGTTCTGGATTGGCTGGTGGGGTTACGCAACGCGTCTGGAAGTAGCACCTGCTCTGAGATCCTGCCGAGGGAGTTCTGTGCCACACCTCCATCGGGGGGAGAGACGCCCCCTCGTGCAGTCTGCGGCGCCCTGGTTGGCGGAGTCTCCTCAGGGGCCACCCTGCAAGCCCAAGGAAGCGAGGCCGGCGGCAGCACCCGACGACGACTTCGACAACGGCGACGACCGAGACTGGAAGGGCTGAACGCTGCACCAGCGTACAGTCGGGGCGTTGACCCAAGGAACCCTAAATCATGAACGAGGCCCCTTTTGTTCCATAAGTCAACCTTCGATCTCCTGCCGAAAACATCAGGAAAGCCTGAGGCAAGCTGTGAAACACTTAAGGAACGCCGAGCCCCTCCCCATCGAAAAGGGTTCCTTCTTCAGGGCACCGGCGTACCAAGGGCTCCTAAGTTCGCGCTTCGCGCTGCGCGAAGCGCGAAGCGCGAATAACTTCGCGCCCTCGCGCCGCCCCCCCAAAGGGAGAAGAGGAGGACGAGGAGGAGGGGGAGGAGGAACGAGGACCGCGAAGCGCGAATAACTTCGCGCCCTCGAGGGAGCCCTTGGCCATGGGGCAGCGGCGGAGGCGCCGCCAGGGGGGGGGGGATCCGCCGCAGATCCAAGGAATCCGCGCGGAGCTCCGAGGGTTGATATCTCGGCCGTGCTCTGGTCCTCGAGAGGAGAGAGTACCCCAGATCCCTTCTTGATCGACCCCCCCTAAAAAACTGGACCCCCCTCCAAATGCGGCCTAATATTCCGGACCCCCTCTTCGACGGGGCGCCTTGATAAACCGGACCCCCTTAAGGTCCAATCCAAAGACAGCGCCCTAATAAGCCGGACCCCCCAGTTACAAAAGGGCACCTTAAAAAACAGGACCGTGGGGACGATTAATAAAGGATTTGGAGTACGAGGGCGGAGGAGCAAGGGCAGACTGAAGGAAATCCACGATTAGAACAATCGATCCTCCAGACGTCCAGGGAGCGATCCAGGGCGAAACACCACAAGAACATTTTTGCGCTAGGAGCACGAGCTTCACGCAAAGCGTTGTCTTAAACAGACGAAATTACAGGTGAAGACCTGCGACAAGCCCACGAAAAGACGAAGCTCCAAGACAGCGCCCAGGCTCCAGTCTCGACTCTTGATGTTCTTGAGCGCAATTTGGAATCCGTTCAAGTTGATGTTTGTTCTTCAAATGTCTGACGGGTGTAGCCTTAGGTCGGGCGTGTCCCCCTACCGGGGGATTTTGAAAGAAAAATAAAGGATAGTCCAAACATACCCCATAATGATCAACAAGTATAATAAAAAACAAATCGTCCCAAAACTATGTTTCGACTAGTCTGCAATGTTCTTCCTGTAGAGGGACGTGCCCGACTTAAGTGCAGCCCACGGCAGAGCGGTCGAGAACATTGTGGAGCCCGCCTGTCGAACCATTCAGAACGTCTTCGCGGCGCGCAGGGAGGGAGGGCGACGAGGAGGGGCGCGAGGAGGCAGGGAGGGCGAGGAGGGCGGGAGGGACCGAAGGTTGACGTTTCTGCAGCTTCCTCTCCTTCGAGGCGTCGACTGGACAACCGCGCTCCACTACTCGCAAAGTCACTGCTCGCAAATGGCGTGGAGATCAGCCGCGGAGGAGTTACGATACGAAATTGTATCGCGGCGAACGTGTGCTTTTCGGACGTTGGCGAGCAGTGGAACGCGCCCGGTGAACGACGGCGGCGGCGGCGGCAACGCGCCACGGGCGTGGCGCCGGGGGCTGCCCTTTCTGGTTCCCCTCCCATCCGATCGGTCCTCTTCCTCCTCCTCCTCCTCCTCCTCCTCCTCCTCCTCCTCCTCCTCCGTCTCATCATCATCATCCTCATCCTCATCCTTCTCCTCCTCCTCCTCCTCGCCCAGGCTTTCAGGGCGCTGGCGTCGGGCGGGCAGAGCTTCTGGCCCCCAGGGAGGACGAGGAGGGAGCGAGGGACCGAATGTCGACGTCGGCGGCGGCGGCGGCGACGCGCCGCGGGCGTGGCGCCGGGGGCTCGGAGCTCGCGGCGGGCGCCCAGGCTTTCGGGGCGCCCGCGTCGGGCGGGCAGAGCTTCCGGTCCCGGCCCCTGGCGGGCCGCGCACGGGCAGGGGCGGCGGCGGCCGCCGCGGCCGCAGCGGCAGCCGCGGCGGCGGCAGCTGCTCCTCTGAGGTTATGGACGACGACGACGACGACGGCGACAACACTCATCGTTTTAAGACTGTTCGCTCCCATCTGTTCGCGTGCCAGTGGACACGTATATCCCACACCCTCGGTATCCGCCCTCTTCGTTTGCGATCGCAGCAGCGGCAAGTGGCCCTGGTGAGCGTTTTCTTTTACTCGGCGTTTCGACATTGGGCGCAAGGGGGGGGATGGTGGGTCTGGCTCCGGACCTCTGCTCAGTGCGACTGTTTGCAAGAGAGTGCTGCCCCTGGGGGAGACTCCACCCGCTCAAACCAGGCGCCAAAAAAACACCCAAGATCTACTCCATGGGGGGGAGGGGGGTTTGGGGGCCCGCGCCGACCGGTCGGCAAAACAATGCATAAAACAACGACGACCTGATGATGCCTCTGCCTCGCCCCTCCTCACCCCCCACTCCTCGGGTGTTGCTGGAGGCGCCCCTGGCCAAAGGTGGCCCCAAGAGTTCCAGGGGGGCCCCCCGCGGCCTCCAGAAGGCCCCGTCACGAGGCTTCCAGAGGGCCCCAGGGGCTCCAAAATAGAGCGAAAAGCTGGGGGCACCCTGGCCCAGGCGCCCAGGCGGCACCCCTAGCGGCCCCCGAGCTCCCTCCCTGGTCTCCGTGCGGCAAAAGGGCGGCGGCTGCAGCGGCTCTCTCTCTCCCGTGGCCTGGTTGCGGGTCTGCACGGGGGCGGGAGAGGGGGGGCCCGCAATGCAGGTCGCGGTGGTGGGGCCTTTCGGGCTCCCCTGGGGGGGGGGGGAGGGCGGTGGAGGCCCTCCACGAGGAAGCCCAGAGCGCCGCGGAGCCCCCCCCGGGCAAGATGCGGGCCAGCAGGTGCCGTCGCGGGCTCCCCATGGAGGCCCCCCCTCTCCCTCCGCTCCTCGGCCTCCCCGTCGGCACCCCTCCCCCTGCACGCAGGAGTGTGCTCTTTCTCCATCAAGCGCTCCCGCGATCACCACGGAGGCATCGTCTGGCGGCGTGCCATCCGAGCACCAGCGGAGAGCACAGAAGATCTGAGACCAAACCGTATGTGGGGCCAGACGTGCGTGCAGCAAGGGCTCGGCTGCACACAAAGTGGCTCTGCAGAAGCGGCCAGCATCGGATCGAACGTCGGGTCGGAGCGGGACGTGTGTCGGATCGGAGCGGATCGAAAGTCGGGTCCGATCGGCACCCGACGGGAGTAGAACAGATCTTCAGCCTGGACCGCGATGCGCGACTGGGCATCTTCGCGCACTTGCGGCGAACCTACAACCCGGTGCGACAAGCAACTGGTGTTTAGCCGGCCCCTGGCCTCCCTATTTCAATGTTGATCGCGGGACCGGAAACACCTACCGGCACCACATTGAACGTTTACATCGGGGGGGGGAGATGTGCGCGCACAAAGGCACTACTTGACTGACTTTCCGCACGAAGGGGAAGGGACGGGACAGGGTCAGGCAGCAAATTGGATCTCCAAGTCGAATCGGCTCGGGACATGCGAATCGAGTCGCATCGGCCGCGCCAGGATGTACAACAGCGCCACGCGGTTGGATCGAGCCTGCCAGAATCGATATCGAATCGGGTCCACCTGATCGCAATGGGACATGGACCCAGGAGTGGCCCTGGGCCAGACTGGCCTGCGGTGCGCGGATTGCCGCTACTTGCATGCGAGGCGACGGCAACGGCCTGCACACCTGGGCCTGCCCACCTCCCCCCACGCGCTCCCCAGAAGTCAGGCTGACAAGGATCGCTCCGGCGACGGGCCACACTCTGTCGTGCTGCCGAGGGGGTCCCTGAGATCTGGGCGTCGCAATGCGTCCACCGCACCGGGCGTTTTCGCTCGGCTTCGAGCTTGCGGGCCCTCACGGGTCGACACATCCACGGGAAGGCCGAAGAAAAGGGAAGGTCCAAGAGAGAGGCTCCTGGGAGTTTGTGTGCCTCTCGCGGCCTCCTGGGGTTCCCTCGTCGCCACGGCCCAATGCGCGTCCAATCTCAAGTCGGAAAGCACACTCGGACAAGTCAAGGCGGTCGAGTTTCGAGAGGGAGTGGACGCAGACCTCCAGCGTCTCCACAGAAGCCGCGGCGGGCGTGCTGTCGCCTCTGGGGAAGCGCCTTTCGGGCTCCAGGGCCGTCAGGGGCCCAGACTGGGGAAACCAAAAGGTACCGATGCCGCTGCTCCCCCAGACCTCTCCCGGGGTGAGCTCTGACCAGCTTTTTGAAGCGAATGCAGAGATGGCGACGAGGGCCTCCCAGGAGGCCCACACATGGGAAAACGAGGGAAGCGTAAAGGTAGGGGCACCTTTTCCTCCTCTGACAGACACACGACGAGCTATGATCTTCCATTCCGCAGAGCCTGGACTCCTGATCCGCTTCCCCGGGGGGTAATTTTCTATTCCAGATCCACTTCCGATGGTCGCGGGGCCCGAACACGGCGGGGGGGGGAGCCTACGGGGGGACGCACACGCCACAAAACGTACATGAACACTGGCGAAACCAAAAGGCTCCGAAACCGCTACTCCCCGGACACCTCTCGGGGTGCAGTCTGACCACAATTTTGAGGCGAACCCGGCGGTGGCGACGAGGGCCTCCCAGTAAGCCGAAAAAAAACGGGGCCAGGGTAGCGGTATGGGTACCTCCTCCTCCTCGGAAATGCGGCCCTCCCAGTTCGCGAGACCAGCCGCGTGATACAAACATTCTCGAAATGCGCACGTTCGAGACCCACGTGGATTCATGCATGTGGGCGTCCTTCTCTGTGATCCCCGGCGATGGGCATAAACTCCCGGAGGCCCGCGCGGAGGTCTGAGAGGTCTGCGCTGAGGCCCGCTCCCTGGCGTGCGGCGGGCGCCGCCCTGGGGGGTACAGCCACGACGACGGCGACGACCGCGACGGGGAGGAAAAACGCGGCTCGGACGCGAAGCTTCGGGGCTCCACGCGGATTTCTTGGATCGGCGCTGGACCCCCCCTCCCTGGGGCGCGGAGCCTGCCAGGGGCGGCGGCGGAGGCGCCGCCAGGGAGCTGCAGCGCAGCTCCAAGGAAAATCCGCGCGGAGCTCCGAAAGTTTGGGTGAAGGCCGCGCCCTCCTCCTCGAGGAGGCGAAGGCACGAGGACGGAGGAGCGGAAGCAGACAGGAGGAGCAACGCCGCGGCTGGAGCAAGCAGTCCTCCAAACGTCTGGGGAGCTGCCCACGGTGAAAAAAACAGCCCGGGGGGAGAGCCCGCGTCTTGGCGGCGAGCAGGGCAGCGGGGCGAAGGTGGAGGGAGGGATAGAGCGAGGACAGAGAGAGGAGGAGACGGAGGGGAGGAGGAGGAGGAGGAGGAGGAGGAGGAGGAGGAGGAGGAGGAGAGCGAGGACAGAGAGAGGACAGATAGAGCGAGGGAGAGGGAGGGCGAGGAGGAGAAGAAGAAGCACGCCGAGGCGGACCACTCGTCGGACTGAAGACTCTGCTCGGCAGGGCTGTGCTCCAGGGTTCTGACTTGCCCATTGCCGCTTGCGCCACCTGCTGAGCCTTCGCTCGATCGCGCCAGCTCTCTCTGGCACACTCTTTCACGGGGAGCTGCAAGCCTCGCTTCGTACGAGCATGGCGAGGCTGGATTGGGCCGAGCCGAAACGCTGTCGAGGACGAGGGGAGAGGGCGAGGAGGGAGACCTTCCAAGAGGCAGCAAAGATGGCACCGAGCCTCGGGATTTCGACTCCGGGGTCGAGACGCTCAGCAGTCCTGGCAGGTCTGTGAGCAGGGCTGCAGGGCTGATTGCAGCCCTCTGGTCTGGACGAAATCGATGTCGAATCGGACCGATCGGATCGATATGTACCCTGCAGCGTGGGAGGGGGAGGGAATCATATGGAAAAAAACGCCTCGCGTCGATCGGAGCGAGCTCATCCCTCGCGGTCTCGCGGCGCCCGAACAGAGAAGAAATCACCAGCCCAGACCGCGATGCGCGACTAAGTATATTCGCGCACTTGCGGGTGATCATGGGCGAAGAACATATCCGCATCCTCGGTCTCGCTGGCAGTGCTCCTGGGCTGGGACCTCTCCGATGCGGAGCGTGTTTTCGCGGATACCCCGCGCCGCCACGGGCGTGATCGGGGGAAAGGGGGGGGGGAATTCGTCCCCCCCTCCTCCCCGAGCACATCACGGCAAAGGGCCGCCGGAGAGCTGACGGAATCCTTGACGAATCCTGGGGGAAGCTGTGCGAACGTGGGCAGCGTAGCATGACGTGATCCTGGGGGGGAAGGAGCGGGAGAGTCGATCGCGGACTTGATCGCCCAGACATGAACAAGAAAGGCTCAAGAGAAGGGTCTTAGGCGAGGCAACATGGCGACCTTGCGCGGGACTCCAGCGCGGCACGCCAATGGCAGCGAAGGGCACGCACGCGCGACCGCACGCGGGCAGCTTACGAGCGAACGGCCCCGTTTTTTCCGTTGCACATATTTCCCCAGAAACAGCCGCACAAGCAGCTGCCACGTCAAAGATGAATCGCCACTGTGCGCTGGCCATTCAAATTGACCAGGCTACCCACGTCGGCGTCTGTCTTGGACAAGATGCTGCAGATTGCTGGCGCGACTAAGGACAGAGGAACGACTAACATCGAGAGATGCATCGGCGATTTGGCGCCATCCTCCGACCCCATCAACTCGGACCCCACTTGGGAGGCCTCCAGACAAACCCAGTGGTTGCTTCTCGGGCCCCGCAGCGAAGAGAAAGTGGCCCACGCAGCGCCCGTCGCCAGCTGATCCCCGCGGCGCCCGAAGGGTCGGAGGCCGTCCACCCCGGAGGCCCTGGGACAGGCCAGAGCGTCCCAAACCTGAGCGACGATCAAAAGCGGGCCTTACACAACATAGCACAGCGACATTACGAGGCGGCCTTCGCCGGCCGCCAGCGCGGCACGCCACATTGGAGACGAGGGCGCCTACGCGCGACCTTCCGCGGGCAGTTTACGCGCCAATGTCGGCGCTGACGACCCCGCCTGCTTAGGAGAAAAAAACGGCATAAACATAAACTGTTGGCGCTCCGCGCATATTTCTTGGACCTGCGCCGAACCCGCTTCCCTGGCGCGCGGAGCGCGCCAAGGGCGGCGCCGGCGGCGCCGCCGGGGGGGCCCAGGCGCGGATCCAAGAAATCCAGCGCGGAGCCCCAACAAATTATGTTAATGTGTGTTTTCTTGTTCGACTGCTCGCGTCGCTCACCTGGACCCTGGCCCTCCGGGCCCGCGCCCGCCGGCGACCCCCGCCGACGAGCCCTCCACCATCGACCGCCGCGCCCGCCGCCCGCACGGAGCCAAAGCGCGCACGCACCGCACGGCACGTCGTGGTCCCTCGCGCATGGGGCTACCGAGGCAGGGGAGTGGAAGGTCAGGGGCGGCAGGGAAGGGAACAGAAGAGGAGGAGGAGGAGGAGGAGGAGGAGGAGGAGGAGGAGGATTTCGCTGGATTTCAATGCCCTGATCCCCACAGCTGCGAAACACGCACCGTGGCGGCGAAACAAAGCGTCTCCTTCCCCAGGCCGCGCCTGGGCAGCAAGGTTCGGCTTTCGCAAAATGCACGCGGCAAAAGAGGAGGAGGAGGAGGAGGAGGAGAAGGAGGAGGAGGAGGAGGAGGAGGAGGAGGAGGAGGGGTAGGAGGAAGAGGAGGAGGAGGAGGAGGAGGAGGAGGAGGAGGGGGAGGAGGAGGAGGAGCCTGGGGAACATCCTCCAACGACCGGCGGGCATGTCTGCAGCTTGGCGGCGCGCCCAGGCGGAAATGAGAAGGGGCGGGCCTGCTCAGAAGGCTCCGAAGTCCCCCGGCCTTCTGAGAAATCTTGCGAGTCCTTCCCGAGGACGCAAAACACGTCTCAGAAGTCTCGCGGGCTCTGAGAAGTCCCGCCGCCTTCTGCCAAGGCCTTCTCCTTCTCGCCGCCGAGGTTCGGGCCGGGCGAAAGGGGGGTATAGCCAGGGGGGAGTTTGAGAATCAGCTCGCGCAGCTGACTTTCCCGGCGCCTCCTGGCGCCGGGAGGCGCCCATGTATATCGAGGAATGGGCGCGGCGGCGGGGCCGAAGCCAGCTGCATGCAGCAGATTTCGTAACCTCGGCTACACGCAGAAGTGACCCTGGGTAAGAGTGACATTTGGTGCGCGACTTGTTGGGGTCCGCGGGGGGACCCAACCTGGGCGCGCAAGCAGCTGCTACTGCCTCGTTTTTAGCCATCTGGGGACCCATCTGCACCCGCACCAAAGGTCACTCCGGCGAAAGGTCGCTCCTACGTCTAGTCGATAACCCCCCCCTTTCCCTATCCCCCCCTTTCGCCCGGCCCGAGAGGTGCAGCTTTCTCTCCCGCGAGCCGCGGGGTCACGTGCCGCCCCCGCCGCCGCCCCACCAGCCGCCGAGCGACAGCAGGCCGCCAACGGCCCCGCCCTGCGGCGCCGCGGGCCCCGCGGCCTCGAGGGGCAGCGTTCGGCGACGGGCGAACAGCACACACAGCACACCACACACCACACACACACGCAAGACATAGCACACCACACACAAGACACAGCGCACAACACACACACAGCACACACCACACACAGAGCACACAAGTCACACACCACACACACACACCACACACGGCACACACGGCACACAACTCACAGCACACAACGCACAGCACACAACACACACACACACCACACAACACACAACACGCAACACAACACACACACACACACTTGTCGCGTCGGCGGCTGGGCAGAGTGACTGCGCCGGCGGAAGAGCAAATGGACATACAACTGCTAATTAATCCGCGGTGCACGGGGGAGAGAGATAGGGAACGTCCGGCGAAGGCAGGAGGGAGAGGGCCCGCTCAGGGCTGGGCCAGGCGGCGGCGAACACACACACACACATACACACACACACACTTACACACAAACACCACACGCCACACACACAGCACACAGCACACAGCACACCACACACAGCACACAGTACACATTACATACCACACACAGCACACAGCACAAAACACACAACACACAACACACAACACAACACCCAGCACACAGCACACAGCACACAGCACACAGCACACAGCACACAACACACAACACACACACCACACACACACACATTCACCACACACAGACACCGCACACACATACACACACATACACACACACACACACACACACACACACACACACGCACGCACACACACAAACACACAGTGTGTGTTTGTGTGTGTGTGACACACACACACACACCTTTCACGCTTTCGACGATGGACCCAGTGCTGTTTCTCGCTCCTTGGCCGTCGCATGGCGGTCCCCAGCGATCTTTGGCGGTGTTCAGCGGTCTTCGGCGCGAAAGCTGGACAGTTGCGGTAAACAAGGGGTCCATAGTCGAACAGCTAAGTTGGGTGACGAACAACCGTCCCGCACCCATATGGGTAGGAGGGTCGGAGGAAAAGGACTGGCTATGGGTATGGGTGCCGGTGGTCGGACCCAGGGGGGGGCTCCCGTTAGAGCGGGGACCCCCTCCGACAACGCGCGCCCAAGGACTCCTCCATCCTATGAGTATGTGTGTATTGTTCGTTCGTCATTAGGCGGGAACCAGAGCCCAGACCTCACCCAAATCTCCGACGATCTGATTTTGCCAATCCTGTAACCATTCCTCGACTTCGGCCTCTGGGGCCCATCTTTGTGGCCCTGGGGCCATCAAGATCAGATCTGGGACCAACAACTACCCCCAGGGAAGGGACGAGAGATCTTCAAGCCGCGGACGGAAACAAATCACACAGGAGGATGTCTGGGCTCGCTGTGACCAGAGACTAACGACGGACGGCTTCGAGCATTTGTCGGCCTCCTGGGGGGGCCCTTACCAGGCCCTGGGGCCGTCAACAATCACGACCCGCTCAGGATGAGAGGCAAGATCGGGGAAAAGGTCCAGACCTCTAGGGGGCCACTCTGTGAAAACATCGCGAAGCCGTCGCTCCTGGTAGGTGGTCCTGGCCTGATGTTGCCCGAGCTTTCCTGGTGCCGCCATGGTGGTCGCCAGAGCACCACTCACGAGACCCAGAGGGCGCCCCCATGGGACCGCCGCGATGTAGCGAAAAGCTGGGACACCTCGGGCCAGAAGCACCTCTGGCAACACCCGACAAGCAGACCGCATGATGGGGAATCCGAATGACAGGATGGGACCCGCTCAGAGGGGGGGGGGGGCGGTGGAGCTGGAATCGGCGATGCGCCCTCGACAGCAAATCGGGACGGGTCTAGGCCGGGTGGGACTATCCAGACCCCTCTCGGCGATCAATGTGCGCTCGTGGGTCGATGCGCCCCCCCCCCTGAGGGTATTATCCCCCTGCGGTCAGGAGCCCTTGCTTAGCGCATCGCGGCGGCGGCCCCGGCGACACGCCACGCCATGCGAGCGGATGGTGCGCCGCGCCGCTCCGAGGGGCGGGCGGCTCAGAACAGCTCGGGACATTGACGCTTGGGAGATGGGGACGTGGACGGCGTGTCGCGCCGAAGCCTGGTGGGCCAGAACTGCGGGCAATGTCTATATCCCCATCCAGTGCGTCTTGGAGTTTCGGACTCTCCTGTCAAGGAACATGAGGCGCACTGGTATGGATTATAACCTGCCTAACAAAAAGGCTAGATGTTTATCCGTATCCAGCGCGCCTCGGCCTTGCGGCGACCCTTCCGAGAAAGTCCAAGACGCACTGGATATGGATATAAAGATTGCCCGCAAGAACCGGCGGAGCCACACGCTAAAAGCCGATGTTCCCGAACGTGACGTTGCCCCGGCTGCCTGGGCGGTCGTGCCCCTCGCCAGGTGCAGCTCGCCCCGCTCGCTGACGACCGGCGGCGCGCTCCGGGGGGCCAGCGGCAGCCACCCAGAGCACGAAGTGGCAAAGTCGTGCCGTGACGGTCCCAGCGATGGCTTCTGCAACCGCGTGGATCGTTCAACTTGGAACAATTAGCGAGTAGCTCGATGGCCAAGTCGGTCCATGCTGTCCGATTCTGGGCCACTGGCGGCGTTCAGCCTTGCACGCTCGCGGCGGGGTCGTGGCCGCGTCGGCACGACACGAACCTCCGTACCGATAGAGGCAGTGCTCCTTCAGACACCGGCAAGTCCACTTGCATGGCATCCCCCGCTCCCTCCCCCCCTCCTCCGTCGCCTCTTCAACAGACGCTGGGCCAAAAAAGGCGTGCAAGTGAGTTCCGACTTGTGCCAAGTGAGGATTTCCTTGTGGGCATCGCCTCGCACCCGACCCTCTCCACGCAACCGAACCTGTCAGAATCGAAAAAAACAAAACTGCCTCACACATGTACCTGAGTCTCGACTTCGACATTCGGGGCCTCCTTGGAGGCCCTTGTCGCCACGGCTGGATTCGCCTCGAAATCCAAGTCAGAACGCTCCCTTGGAGAGGTCCGGGGATGAGCGGCGTCGGTGCCCTATCTTTTGTTGGTTGTTATTCTCGATCGCAGCCACCCTAGATCTCCGACGGCATGTTCTTTTCAATCGAAGCGTTTCTCCCCGACGTTTCCGCCTTCGGGGGCCGCTACTGGGCCTCAGGGCGGTCAAGAATTGGTCAAGTATTGGCCAGAATTGGCCGCGGATGGAAAAGGTCAGGCCGGCGGACGTCAGGGGGGAGGGGCCCTCTGAGAAGGCTCGGGGTGGGCCTCTCAGGAGGCCCCAGGAGGATCAAGCGCTCCAGTCGATCGGATGCCGCACCTCCACTATGCAGAATGGAAGGAAGAAGTAGTCCAGATGTATGTTGCTCCCATCGTACATAAGGACCACATCCCAGAAATAATTTCGAGCACCTGGAAAAGTGTCGAAAGAGTGTCGAAACAGTGTCGGACGAGTGTCTCCCAGGGCCCGACACGTGAAAACCATATAATTTCGGTAATTTCATGGTGCTCGAACTTCTTTCTGGTGGTCAAGGCTGAAGTAGGTTGGAACTTCATGAATCTAGATCGGATGCCGCACCTCCATTCTGCAAAGCGGAAGGGAGAAGTGGTCAAGAACGGAGGCCGGACCTCCATCCATTTCCAAAGTCTTTCTTCCCTCTGGGCAAGGGCCCCTGGTGGGCTCTCAAGCAGCCCGACGGGCTTCCAAGACGCCCCCCCAAAAAAACCCGTGCCTTCTCTCAGAAGGCCCCCCCCCGGCCTGAACGAGACGGGCCCCGAGCTCAGGAAGCGTGCCATGCATTGGCTCTGGGGCCCTCCTGCCCCACAGCCGTCTCGGTATATCCCGATCTGATGGGCCTGTTTTCCACCACCACCACCATAAATTGGAGGGGGAGGGGGGTGCTCCTCCTCCTCCTCCTCCTCCTCCTCCTCCTCCTCCTCCTCGTCCTCCTCCTCCTCCTCGTCCTCCTCCTCCTTCCCCCTTCCAACTTATGGTGGTGGTGGTGGTGGAAAACAGGCCCATCACGATCCGCTTCGCTGACGGCCCTGGGCCTCGGGAGGGCCAGGGGGGAAGGGGCAGGGAGGGACCCCCAGGGGTGGGCCCGAGCGCGGCGGCGAACGAGACATCGGGCCCTGTTCCCCTCGGGGCCCGCTTGCCCCGCGCCGCAGAAGGCTCAGGTCGGGCATGTCCTCCCACAGGCGGAGTTCGGAAGAAGCAGCAAATAATCCAACGCAGGATCCAAACTCGTGGGGGAACCGTCCCCAGGCTACTTCTGGGACTCTTGTGGAGTGCTCCTGCTGTCGAGGGATGTGCCCGACTTGACAGCCCAGACATGCGACGCCCTGGTCTTTTCGGGACGGGGCCCATGGAAGTGCCGACCCGTTCCCCGGGACAGGCTTTTCATCCTGAGTCGTGTTGTTGACGGTCCCGAGTGCCCGGCGAGGGCCCCCTGAGGCCGAACATGGCGAAAAACCTCCCGTCATGTTTTTTTTCATTACCCGAGGGGGTCTGGGGACAAGGAACCTCGCCTGCTGGTAGGTACCCCGCGACGACTTGGCATCCCCCCGGCCGCCCGGGGTGGGGGGCCGCAGCACAGGGAGCCGTGGGGCGCCTCGGGAGACTCAGAGCTCGACGGCGAGCGCGCCCCGCGAGGCCTCCTGCTGCAGGGTTTGCACGTCCACCGCCCCCGAAAAGCCGACGTCGCGAAACAATTCCATAGGTACGAGAGGGAGGAGGAGGAGGAGGAGGAGGAGGAGGAGGAGGAGGAGGAGGAGGAGGAGGAGGAGGAGGAGGAAACAGAGGAGGAGGAGGAGCAGGAGGAGGAGCAGGACGAGAAGGAGGAGGAGGAGGAGGAGGAAGACCTCCTCGTCCTCTCATCTCCCCTTTCCTAGATATGGTAGTGGTGGTGGAAATCTTGCCCATCACGGTTGCAGCATCGCGGAACAGCACTACCAAAACCCCTAGGACTGCGGCATCTTTCGAGCCGGATCGACTCGTGAGGGCCCTTGGGACCCGACACCTGGCAAACATGCGCGTTGTAAAGAGATGCAGCGCCTGGACCTCAGGGTCCAGCGCGTCATACCCCCGCCCATTCGGCGCTCCCGATCCCCACCCCCCCCAATCCTCAGCCCTGAGGGAACGAAAAGATGTCAATACCGACGTTCCCCGCTTCTGGCCCGGATGTCGAAGAGGATCCAACCGTGGCGACGAGGGCTTTCCAGGATGAGCAGCGGTATCGGTATCGGTTCCTGCTCTGAGTATCGTTTATCCGATCCCCATCCCCAGCGGCGTGGCCTGGGCCCCACTGGCCCTAGATGGGGATATAGGTCGTCCCCTTCGGGTTTCGAGGGGTGTATCCCCAACTGGGGGGTAATTTGGTGGGGGTCTCGAAAGGGATGGGGATGGGGGTCGGATCAGGTATTGACCTGTGGCGCCCCCCGATCGCCCCCTGCTCTTAAGGTTGCTGTGCCAACCCCCCTCGGTGCGCGCCGCCGGGACGGACTGCACCGCGTCGCGGAACAGCTTCCGCACGCGGGTGAACTCCAGCGCGGAGACCTTCTGGGGGTCCCCAAGCCGTGGGGCGACCTCGACATCCTGAGACCCTGGCGCTGCAGCGTGTTCTTTCGCCACGGGCGAGCTTGCCCTCCCTCGGGTTCGGGGCCCTCGCGGATCGATCCGGATTGAAAGGTGCCGCAAACAGATGGAGCCCAGCACGCCAGCTGTGATTTTGACGACATGTTTGGTCGGCCGAGAAGCTCGGTGCACAGGCGCCCCCACCCGAGCTGTGGGATGCTGGAGCGCCTATACACCGAGTTCCTCCGCCGAGCTGCTGGGTTCCTTCGCTGGCCAAATGACGCATTTTGTTGTTCGCAACGTTTGTTGTTCGCAACGTCGGTTCTCGCAGCGCTGACGACGACGGCCAGGCCGATGCGCGGGCGCGGAGCCTGTTCATGTCTAGGACCAGCGAGCAACAACTCGCGTAGCAGATCTCGGAGCCGCACGCCGTGCGCCGCTCGGGGTTCACTTTGACGCACGCATTCCACCTCACATCCACGCTGTCGCAGGGTCAGACACTGCTCAAGGGCGCCACCATCGACTGCGCCAAGGATCATGACGCTGGCAGCGGGCCGCCAGCCTCCTCGCGGAAAACGATCGGGGAGTTCGGAGACAGGCAGAGCGGCGAACTCCAGGGCTGAGGACGAACAGCTCGCCGCAGAACTTAACTTCGCGTTGCCTCCCGCTTGGGCGCGGCCGCGCCCTGCTCGAAACCCGCGGGGTTAGCCCAACGGGTTGGTCTTGCGCGCGAGCGGCCCGCGGGTTCGTCTCAACGGCGTGGCTCGCGAGGTTGCCCCAACGGCTTCCGTTCTTGCCATCGGGAAATCGATGTGCGCGCCGTTGCAACAGGAATGGGGGAGGTGGCGGAGGGGGAGGGCAGGGCGGAGGGAACGCAGGGGGCGCGAGGAGGGTCTGCGCCAGGGGAAGGAGGGAAATGGCGCAGCAGAAACAGAAAGATAGCCTCCGCCATCACAAGAGCGACGCTGAGGATTACCTCCAGATGAGCCGAACACATTGTCATGCAGGGTCCTACCGTCGGAATCATTACTATGGGTTTCGACATTTGGCCGAAGAGTGTGGGAGGCGGGGCCCGGGGAGCGGCAGGTGCTTCGTCGATCTGCTTCTGCCCGTCGCGCGAGCAGACCATGGAGTGGTTTCTGACCGGTCGCCAAAAGCAGCTGCCCCAAACAGCCGAGATCTGGTCCATGGGGGGGCCGGGGGTGACTGGGGAAACTTGTCAGCGCCCCTCAAACGGGGACTCCACTAACGGGTACTTTGGCCAGTGACCCAGCGAACCCAACCCTTCCCGATGCGGGCAACGCTGCATTGCCAGAAAGAGGGTGTAAAAAGGCAACTTTCGGCAAAATTGCAAAGTACCCGTTAGTAAGTACCCGTTGCGGTGCCGTTGAACTTGAAGGTACCAATACCGCTACTTCCTGGACCTCTCCAGGGGTGCGTTCTGACAAGAATTCCGAAGCGAACCTAGTTGGGGGGGCTGGGGGTGGGGGGGCGGGGGCCCGCGCCGATCGGCGAAACCATAGATAAAACAACGGAGTCAAGATGCCTCGACACTGCCTAAGGTAGGGAGCCCACAAAGGACGTGCGCGCCAAAGATGTACATAAACACGGCCCCTCATCAGGCAAGCGCGCTCCACTACTCGCAAAAAGAAACTACTCGCGAATGGCCTGGGTCCGCCGCGGGAGGTTTGCGATCCATTGCGCAGAGGAAAACAATGTCTCTCTGCCGTTTGCGCGTCGGCACTTTGCTAGTAGCGGAGCGCGCTCGGTGACTCAGACGTACCGCGAGACCAGCCGCGTGATAAGAACGCTCGCGCAATGCGCACTCTCGACACCAACGTGGATTCATGAACGTGTGCACGGTTTCCCCCGGGGGCGTAGGCGACCCGAGGAGGAGAAGGAGGAGGAGGAGGAGAAGGAGGAGGAGGGGGAGGGGGAGGGGGAGGAGGAGGAGGAGGAGGAGGAGGAGGAGGAGGAGGAGGAGGAAGAAGACGGGTCGCCTAAGCCCTTCGGAGAAACCCTCCATGTACGTGTACGTCTTCATTTCGCTCCTGAGGAGGTGTGGCCACCGCACCGACCAGCCCCGCAGACCTCCGCCTGCTGCACGCGCGTCTCCGCGCCAGCGGGCCCCTTGCCGGCGCGCCCGCGCGCGTGCAGCTCGGCCAGCCGCCGATGGGCGAGCCGCGCGTTGGCGGTGTAGGCCTCTCGGGAGCAAAGGACCCTCAATCCCTCAGATCCCGGCGCTGCCACTTTTTTCCCAACAGGCGCCCATCCGGCTTCAACAAGGGCGCAGGAAGATTGGGTCTGGGGCTCCGGTCGCAATGTTTCACACTGCTGCATGTTTTCTGCAGCCGCGACAGCTGGGCCGAAGGAGCCGCCTCTGGCGGAGGACAGCGCAGCCCGCCCCTCCCCCACCCCACCGCCAGGACCCCCAAACCCCCGACCTGGTGATCCAGGGGGTCCTAGCTGCGGGTGGGGGCGTTGGGGGGGGCGGGGGGGGGGCTCTCGAGGGGCAGGAAACCACCCTTGCCCCCAGCCAGGAGCCCCTGAATCACCAGGTCGGGGGTGGGGGTCCTGGCTGGGGGTGGGGGTGGGTGGTGCTGTCCTCGCTGCCGCCGCGCCCCCCCTCCCAAAGGCAGGCCCCGCCCCTCGAGCGGTGACGACCTCCGCGCGGAGCGAGGGGGGCCAAAGAGAAGGAAAAGACCTTCTCGCAAGGCTCGGAAGTCCCCCGGTCTTCGGAGAAGTTGTTTCTCTGGCCCGTCCCCGAGGACGCAAAAAAAACCTCAGAAGGCGCGAGGACCTCTGAGAAGTCCCGCCGCCTTCTGCGAAGGCCTTCCCCTTCTCACTTCCCCCCCACACACGCTCGTCGCCGCGCGGCGCCTGTCGCAGAAGAAGAAAACAAAAACATAAACATAAACGTTTGGCGCTCCGCGCGGATTTCTTGGATTCGCGCTGGACCCCTCCCTGGCGCGCGGAGCGCGCCAGGGGCGGCGCCGGAGGCGCCGCCAGGGGGCCCAGGCGCGGATCCAAGAAAACCGCGCGGCGCGCCAAAAGATCATGGTTATGTGTTTGTTTCTTTTTCGACGTCTCGCGGTGGCCGCGCGGAGGTCATCCCTCGCCGGGGAAGTCAGGGTCGGCCTCTTGGGGGGCGGCGGCAGGGGCGGCCCCCTTCGGGCCAGGAGTCGCAGCTGCCTCCTTTGGTGTGCTCCGAAGGCCTCGCCCTCGTGCTGGTCTCCGCCGTGCCGCGCCCCCGCCGGCACGCCGAGACTCCGAGGACAAAACGCCGACATTGCTACCACCAATACTCCTACGACTACGACTACGACTACTACTACGACTACTACTACTACTACTACTACTACTACTACTACTACTACTACTACTCTTACTACTACTGCAACTACTACGACTACTACTACTACTACTACTACTACTACTACTACTACGACTACTACTACTACTACTACTACGACTACTACTACTACTACTACTACTACGACTACTACTACTACTACGACTACTACTACTACTACTACAACTGCAACTACTACGACTACTACTACGACTGCAACTGCAACTACTACTACTACTACTACTACTACTACTACGACTACTACGACTACAACTACTACTACTACTACTACTACTACTACTACTACTACTACTACTACTCTTACTACTACAACTGCAACTACTACGACTACTACTACTACTACTACTACTACTACTACTACTACTACTACTACTACTACTACTACTACTACTACTACTACTACTACTACTACTACTACTACTACTACTACTACTACTACTACTACTACTACAACTACTACTACGACTACTACTACTACTACTCTTACTACTACTACTACTGCTACTACTACTACTACTACTACTACTACTACTACTACTAACTACTACGACTACTACTACTACTACAACTGCAACTACTACGACTACTACTACTACTACGGCTACTACTACTACTACTACTACTACTACTACTACTACTACTACTACTACTACTACGACTACTACTACTACTCTACTACTACTACTACTACTACGACTCTACTACTACTACTACTACTACTACTACTACTACTACTACTACTACTACTACTACTACTACTACTACTACTACTACTACTACTACTACTACTACTACTACTACTACTACTACTACTACTACTACTACTACTACTACTACTACTACTACTACTTCTACTACTACAACTTCTACTACTACTACTACTACTACTACTACTACTACTACTACTACTACTACTACTACTACTACTACTACTACTACTACTACTACTACTACTACTACTACTACTACTACTACTACTACTACTACTACTACTACTACTACTACTACTATTACTACTACTACTACTACTCCTACTCCTATCCTTATTCCTTATTAGAATATACTCCTACTCCCCCTCAGGCCGGCAGATAGCGGGCGCATCCGGGTGGTCCCATCCTAACCTGTAAAAAACAATACAAAATCAACATGTTTCTTATTTTTTCCTCTCGACATGGACGTCCTGTCGTCCACGGCGATAATCCATTGCAAAAAATACCACAAAGAGCACACGCGCGCGTTCATGTCAGAATCCTACCGAACACCGTGTGTGTGCAAGCATTTCAACATAAAAACATCAAACGCCCAATGCTTTTTTCACAAAAATTGTACAATTTTCCTGCCCGGCTCTCTTGCTGAAATCATAGGAAAACCATAGGAATCTTAAGAATTCGGTCAAATCCAGCGATTTCACGTCATCGCGCGGTGCACTCGCGATGCTCTGTCATGCACCCAGGCCGCGAATCCTGTGCAAAAAATACACAAAGAGCACACTCGCGCGTTCATGTCAGAATCCTACCGAACACCGTGTGTTTGCAAGCATTTCAACATAAAAACATCAAAAACCCAATGCTTTTTTCACAAAAATGCTTTGGGGTGTCCTGTCAGACCGTCGGGCTTTCCTCCGGCCACCTCTGGCTTCCTGCGGTGTACCGGGCCATTCTCGACTCGTCTGGCAATGCGTGCGCGGCATTCAACACGCGCTCGCCAGTTCCCGTCGGCAACCGCCATCGCGGCCGCATCAGCTGTACCAAACCTGCTGGCCGGTGTGACTTCGGCCCCCAGTTGTGCCAGCTTTGCTTCTTATGTTGTGGGAGGGCGGGTGGGACTGGGCATGCCATGCTTGACTCGCTCGAGCTGGCTAGCTTGACTCCTACTCATACTCCTACTCCTACTACAACTACAACTACTACAACAACTACTACTGCTACTACTACGACGACTACTACTACGACGACGACGACTACTACTACTACTACTACGAGAACTACTACTACTACTACTACTACTACTACTACAACTACTACTACTACTACTACCACCAGTAGTAGTAGTAGTAGCACTACTACTACCACCAGTAGTAGTAGTACTACTACTACTACTACTACAAGTACTGCTGCTACTACTACTGCTACGACTACGTCAACGACTACCACGACAACAACGACAACGACTACGAATACACCTACGACTGCGACTAGTACGACCAGTATGATCATTACCACTACTGTTACTACCAGTACTGCTATTACCACTACTACTACTACTACTACTACTACTACTACTACTGCTACTACCACTACTACTACGATTACGACTACGACTGATACTACTACTACTACTACTACTACTACTACTACTACTACTACTACTACTACTACTACTACTACTACTACTAATACTACTACAACTACTTCGACGGTTATGTCGACTACCTCGACTACTACTATTACTACGAATATTACTACTACTACCACTACTACTACTACTACTACTACGACTACTACTACTACTACTACTACCACTACTACTACTACTGCTACTACTACTACTACTACTACTTCTGCTACTACTAGTGCTACTACTACTACTACTACTACTACTTACTACTACTACGACGACGACTACGACTACGACTACGACTAAGATTGACGGACTACTACTAACAAACCACTACTTCTTTACGACTACTAATACTACTACTAACTACTACTTACTGCTAAAACCAAAACCTGACTACTACTACTACTTACTAATACTACTACTACTACCTACTACGTACTACCTACTACTACACTTACTACTACCGACTACTACTACTAATACTTTACTACTACTACTACTACGACTACTACTACTAATAGACTAGACTACGATCGACGACTTAGGATACTAAGATACTCCTTACTACTACTACACCGACTACGACTACTACTCCTCCTCATATTACTCATATTCTTACTCCTACTACTACTCCTACTACTACTACTACTACTACTACTACTACTACTACTACTACTACTACTACTACTACTACTACCAGTACTGCGATCCCTACCATTAGCTCTACTACTACGACTGCGACTACTACTACTGCTATTACTGCTACTACTCCTGCTATTGATATTAATGATACCTCAGAAAAAAAACATCAGGGTTATAGGGCTAGGGGGCTATAGGGCTATAGGGCTATTGAACGATAGGGCTACAGAGCTGAAGCGCTATGGAAATGTAGGGCTATAGGCTATTGGCCTATAGGGCTACAAAGCGCTCCCGGGCACCCCCAAGCACCCCCGGGCACGCCCGGGCACCCGGGTACTACTACTACTACTACTACTACTACTACTACTACTACTACTACTACTACTACTAATACTACTACGACTACTACTCCTACTCCTACACTCCTCCTCCTCTCCTCCTC